GATGATTGACTCTTGTATGCGTCTGCCCATGCATTGTTTGTCGGTTGATTCATCCTTGCATGATAAAAATACTGTTGAGGATTTGCGGCCGAATCAGACGGCAATATTTGTCATGGTTTCTGAAACAGATCATCATTAGAAGTGTCCATGTTAGGAATTGCTAAATCATGAGCCAGTGAATGTTTGTACTTATGTGTTCCTTCTGCTGACACTCTTCTGTCGTCAAGCAACACCTTGACCTAAAATTACATCTTGATTTCTGTAAATTGGCCGGCATAAGTCCCTGCCAGTTCCAGGACCTCCCAAAACCAATGGATTTTTGAGAGGCGCGTGTGGTTTCTTTAGATGAACCAGGACCATAATTTAGTTTTCCATAGGTTGCCGGAGTATTGCTCAAAAATAATTCTTGTTGATGGCTTTCTAGTTCGGAGTCTGATTTTTGTCTAAGCTAACCAGATAAACTTCTTCCTTGGTTCTCATTGATAAGAACCTGGTCATGTTCAGCTGCTCAAGCAGTCGATGTTGCTGAAGGTTTATAGCAATCAAAGCTCATCTTCAGGGAATCAAATGCCGTACATGCAGATCCATTTGAGTCACAGTTCTTGGGTTTGGCTCCTTGGCTCTGATCATCCTTGTTATCCTCTTCTTTATTGTTTTCTTCAAATTTCTGTTGCTCATTATGGGCATCTTGGGAACTGTCCTTTGCATGCTTAGTGTCCCTGGCATTTCCACCCTGAATGCAGAAAGGGACAGTCACAGGGAGTATGCTATGCTTCCTCTTAATTCTTTCTACCACAGGCTTTTTTTTTTTTTTTTTCATTAAAGGAATTTGTTGCCCCTTGTAGGTTTCCCTCTATTGAATGCCCATAAGGGGATCTAGATGTAGTTACTTCCACTTTCATTTGCTTGCGTGCTGGTTCATATGTTGAATAGAAGTAAATTGCATTTTGGTTGGTTGTGCGATATACTTTGGAAGCTGTTGTGTCTTTATATACTGTTGTTCGCTGCTGGCATCTTTCAACGAAGCAGTTACAGGCCTTGGTTTTAAAGTTGTACTTTCGTACACCAGTAGGAATTCGGTGTTTCAGATACACACCTGCCTTGTCCAAAACAGCACTGTTGTTTGTACTTAGTGCGGGGGTTTTCAGCATGCTATGCTGCTGCTGCTGCTGCTGCTGACATCAGGGATTGGTTTATGTGGAAGAGAGGCATTTTGTTTTTTTATAGTGAACATTAGAGCAGAGCTGGTATACTTGCGGTTCTTAGCCAACCCTCTCATAATGCGCAGGCGAGAATGCAGCGCCATGTTTGTAAGCCCATGCTGTTTGGATTCTTTTTCCTGCTGATGCCGGCTAGAGGTTTCCTTTGTTCTCTGCTCCCGGCTGGACATTTATTATCGAATGCTTTGACAAGACTTTCCACTTTACGAGAACGCCTCTCCGATTGACTGCTGCTCTCAAGCCTGTCTTATGATTCTTTTGCCCGCACAGAAGTCGTTTTTTTCCCAGATCCACTTCTGTCTCCTGCGTAGCTAATTTTTAACGAATTTGATCTCAGCTGTATTTGCCAGAATGGAATTTTATTACTATCTTCTTTGCTGTCTTTAACCCGTCATTCGAATTTTTAAAAGGTACATTTTCTGGCAAATTATTCCTGAAAGATCTTCCTTGTCTCATGCTGTCAGAGACTTGTTCTCTACCTGCTTGATTTTTGTTGTCAGATCTGTTGTTCGTGTCACGTGTTGCCTGGGCGATAAATCTGTTTACACCTGGGGGTTTGTTTGTTTTAGCTGTACCCACTAGCTCCTCTGGGGTGTTGGCCATGGGCACAGTTTCACCTTGAAATCCACAGATAGTTGTCAGTGTGTAGTTAGACTGTGAGTAGCTGGCCGTTGACTGGCGGATGATGTGTAGGCTGGACATGAGCTCGGTGTCCGTGTCCTGCTGGTAACTAGAAATCGATTCATTACGCTGACTGACAGGAGCAAAATGTCAATCAGACACAAATCAGCCGTGGTGCGAGTGTCTTACTTTAAATTATCGGAGGATCCAGAGAACTACTACAGTAGGCTTCAGATTGGAGGTCTGCCAAATGAGTTAGAAATCTTTGTTGGAGTCAAGATAATGCAAAGATCTAACACTGATAATTGCAAGAGTATCAATGAAGCTATTGGGCTTATAACATTCAGCATCTGGCCACACTTTCGCTTTGATCACATGTGTGAGATGCACTTACGGTCTGTTTGTATAGATTTTGGTGACACCGGATTACACATTATTTAGGCATATGTTGCTCTTAACAGAGTAACATTCCTGGAAAGGCTTCAATTTGAGAAGCTGAACAACACAAAGCTGACTGGGAGGAAAAAAACGTGTAATAATGATGCTTTAGCAGAGATTGAGCAGAGCGTCAAAGATAGTCTATACACATAGGACCCTTGGTTCTCAGTCGCCTTTCCTTTATGGTAATTCAGTGTCTTTTTTTTTTTTTTAATTCTATTGACAAATTGTTCGAATCCTGTGCCACTAAGTGTCATTTCCGTTTACGTTGGATATTTGAGATATGATTCCCCAAAAAGCATCTTAAACGCAAGACCTATGTCGCACACTGGGCTACAACCTGGTATCAATTACTGGACAAAAAAGAAAGAAAAAAGACGTCATTTAGCCCTGACATGTGTGAACTTGTTTGTCAGTTATCGCTGATTATTTATATAAAAGAGGGACGCCATAGAATCCAATAAGACTTGTCATATCAAGACTTAAAAAAAAAAAAGGTACTTAATAAGGTCTGACTAAGCGATAGACGATTCGATCGATGAACTATTTTCTATGAGAAGTTGAAAACGGTAGGAGAACGCTTGCATATTGCCGCTGTGACGTTTAGTCAATAGGAAATAAACAACTACTTCACACGTACTGATTTGTAAATCTGGTAAGTCACTTGAATTATAACTAAGCGACCTATTGGAGTTATGGTCGATACAATTTAAATGGCTGTCTGAAAGGACAAAGGCCTGATCAAACTGATACAGTGGAGCTCGCTTTACGAGCATAATTCGTTCCAGAATCATAATCGTAAAGCTAAACACTCGTTATATGAAATATTTTTTCTTATATAAATTATTGTAAAAAACGAAAATGCATTTCATGTCGAAAACAAACTCACAACGCATTACGTAACGTTTATTCAAAGAAAATTATATACATATTGTTAGGCAGAGTGAATTATCTCCATCTCTTCTTTCACCGCGCAGCGAACCCAACTGGAATGCGAATTCGATTTGCAGGACCCAAAAAAAAAAAATTGAAATAATTATAATACACACCTAATTATTTTTTTTTTTTAATTAGAAAGATGTCCAGAGACATTTGTTTTTGCCTTCTTCTTCGTCTTCTCTTCCACCTTGTACCTCATAAAAAGTGTCGGGGGGAAATGTAACGTTCGTTGATAAGCTCTGTCAAAAGCACTATCAAGACTGATGTTCATTTATGCAAGGCTATTCTTTATGCCATCACTCCATATTTTCCGAGGTCTTCCACACGCTCTGTACCCGTTGTAACGTTTTAGTGTGGCTCGCTGTGGCAGATAGTACCAGAGCATTCTTGTTAGGTGTCCAAACCACTTGTTTTGTTGTTCTTTGATGACCTGTAAGACTGGCTTTATTCCTAGCATTCATCTGATTTCGTGATTTCGTATTCTGTCTTTCCTTGAAACTCCTGCAGCTCTTCCTAGGCATTTCATCTCTGTTGTCACAATTTTACGTTCATTGGAAGATGTCAGTTTGTTTTTACCGACGCTTTAAAATTTGGCGAAAATGCGAATCAGCATTATCATTAAATAAATTTGCAGCGCGCATAGCCACTTCCTTATTAGGGTTATGCTTCTAATTGTAAGACGCAACGGTTTCCCATGCTTTTAACATTTCTCTTTTTTCACCAGAAAGATTGTTGCTTTTCTGTTACCTCCTCCTCTTTCTCTGGCAAACTTTCATTAAAAACTTCTTGCTGTGAAACGTAGTGCAACTCCACAAGCTCTTCGGCGGTCAGCTCTTGGCTGTGCTCTTCCACAAGCTAGGCAGGCAACGATGTGGAATGTGATTTTTTCCAACACTCTCTGAGAGTGAGGTTAGTCTCTTCAGTCACCTGAAAACAATGCTCGAAGAGTGCCTTAGTGTATAGCTTCTTAAAGTTGGAAATAACTTGCTGGTCCATGGGATGGAGTAACAGAGTGGTGTTGGGAGGCAGAAACTGGACCTTGATGAACTTAAATTTTCAGGGAGGTCATCTTGTAGGCCTGGAGGATTGGCAGGAGCTTTATCCATAACAAGCAAGACACGGAGTGACAGATTTATGTCAAGCAAATATTTTTTTCACAGAAGGACCAAACACTTTCTTGATCCACTCAGTAACAAGGTCACCCAAGTCTTCCTGTTGGACCTCCACGTCACATTTAGCCTGCTCTTCTGAATTTTGCATTTATTGCAGGCTCGTGGAGTTCCTGAATGGTAAACAAGCAGCTGTTTAATTTTTAAACCATGCTTGCATTGGCACACAAAAAAGCAACACGAGACGGTATTTCAGTGGCTTGTGGCCTGAAAATGCATTCTCCTCTGATGTTATATGCGTTCGCTTCGGCATCTTTTTTAAGAAGAGACATGTTTCGTCACAATTAAAAATATGTTGCGGCGAGTAACCTTCAGAATCTACGAGCTTCTTGAAGCCGCCGATGAAGTAATCTGCTGCTTTCGCGTCGGAACTTGCTGCTTCACCGTGCCTCACATCGCTGTGGATGCCGGTTCACCTCTGAAACTTCTCGAACCACCCACGGCATCCTTAAATACTTCTTCTTCGGCAGTTGTTGATCATAGCGTCTTCTTAACGAGGTCGGCGAAAATTATTTTCGCCTTCTCACAAATGATGTTAATAGTGTCACATTGCAATTGCTTTTCATTTATCCATATGAGAAGCAACCTTTCAACATCGTCGAGAATACGTAACCGTTGCGCAAATATTCTTGTCACCCTCTGTGTAGCATCTATCTCCTTAATCTTGTCCTTATTCTTGAAGATAGTGCAAATTGTTATTGTAGACTGATTGCATGTACATGCCAGATCAGCCACGCTTTCACCACGTTCTCGCTTTTCAATGATTTGATGTTTCATTTCCATGTTTATTTTTACTCTCTTATGGCTGTTTTCTTGGGACATTTTTCTTGGGGAACATGTTTGCAAGGGTTTATTAAACTTTTTACACAAAAATCTATTTCCTCATTATTTTTTAAATAATTAATTCAATAAATTTTTAAAATAATGTACATGTAACACAATATAACACAAGTTTGAGAAAATGTGTGATAACAAGTGACACTACGGTGCTACTGGAACGAGTGCTAATCACAGTCTGGTGAAACATGCGCACAATCCGGGACTTCCCCTCTCCTCGCCACTCGTTACGCGAAACGCCGCTCGTTAAGCAAGTCATTCCATTACATTTTGTTTTGCTCGTCATGCGAATTACTCGTTATGAGTATTGCTCCTTAAGCGAGGCTCTAATGTATATTCAAACTGTCATAATACAGACCATCCCACTGTGAACAAGGCTTATATGTGGAACTGGTATTTATGAAAAAAGCTGTGGTTGTGTTTCCCTCTATACGTGTCGCTAGTTTATCACTGGTCAAAATTGTACGAGATGTGTTTGGTGCAGAACAATGTAAAAAAGGAGTATTCATTATTTATTTCAGGCATAGTCGGTTAGCACTTGTCGCATCTAGGACATTTCTAGTAAAGAGTCCCCCAGAAAGTACCTAGAGAATTTGAGAAACGCCATCTTCGTCTCAAATTTGATGAAAGGGAACATCCCCAACTGCACCTCTAAGTAGTGGAGGGTGGTAAACACACCATGGTGTGGCTAACGCAGATATGGGGACCGAGTACCTACCAGAATAAGTGGATGACTCCGCAGCTGGGCATAGAAGTGCACCCATTTGTCCTGACAGTCTGAAATTACTGTCAAAGGTACAGGTTAAAATACCCCATGTGGATGTGGAAGGCAAGGGGAAACCACCATATTATTTTCCTAAGAAATCTCATGAGAAAACACAGACCGAATCACACGAACGACGTTAATGGAAGTCTCAGGATAGCCTCGTCTGGAAGGGACAACCACGAGTCACAGGTGACACCAGATCGTCATCAGGTTACTAAAGGTATTTTTTAAAATGTTATAAAAATTAAAAGTGTCAAACTAGCAACGTGGAATGTGAGAACACTTGCAGAATTGGGAAAGAGAGGAAATATTATGAAAGAAAAGGAAAGTATGAAGATAAACATCCTAGGCATTAGTGAAATGAGATGAAAGGGTGCTGGAAAGATCAGAAAAAATAAGTACACAATAATATACTCGGGAAGTGACAAACATGGAGAGGAGGTGGGAATACTTTTTGATAAAGAAACAGCAAAAGCAATTGTGGGTTACTGTAGTATAGCAGATATGGTTATTTTGGTTAAAATCAAAATGAACCAATAAATATAAACATAATACAAGTGTATACCCCAACATCAGTTAGCAGTGAAGATTAAATTGAAAAATTTAAATCTGGCAATAGTCCAAACAAAATCACAATAAATTAAAATAATTTCGGGAGATTTTAATGCAAAAGTTGGGAAAGAGAGAACGGAAGATGTAGTTGCGGATTATGGTTTAGGATCAAGAAATGAAAGTGGTGAAACTCTGGTGGAGTGGGCGAAAACAAAATTATATGATGATTGGAAACACCTGGTTTAAACATCATAAGAGACTATTATACACGTGGAAAAGTCCAGATAAAAAAAAAAAAACATTCAATCAAATAGATTATATACTAATTAACAAAAGTTTTAGAAATGCACTAACAAACGTGAAGACAAGACCTAGTGCTGACTGTAACACTGACCACGTCCTGTTATGTGGAAAATTAAATGTAAAACTGAAGAAGGGAAAGAAAGAGATGAAAAACTGTAGACTAAACAAGGATATTATAAGAGAGGATAAAGACATTCAGGAGCAATATAAAGTGATTGTGAGGAACAGGTACAATGCAATAGCAAAAGTACAAAATGCTGAAAGAGTCCATCCATCAAATAGGCAGAGATTTTACGAGAAAGGAGACAAAAAGCTAAAAAAAAAATGGATGAGCGAAGAAATTAAGTTAATGGGTGACAGAAAGCAATGTATGAATGACAAAAAGGAATATGAAAAGATAAAAAAAGAAATAAGGCATAAGTGTATGAAGGCAAAAGAAGAGTGGCTAAATGAACAATGCAACAAAATTGAACACATTCCTGTTAAAGATGCAAAAAAAGTAGGCATAAACAAATTAACGATCTAACTGGAAGAAAGATACGAGTAAACAAATGATGTCTGAAATTAAAAGCAGGAGAGATCTTAATGGAGGAAGATGATATAATAACTAGAATGAATGAATACAACAGAGAATTATTTGATGGAAAGAGAACAGAATTACCAGAAGAAAGAAATATAGAAGGTCCATCTATACTAAAAGAAGAAGTGTCCATCTATACTAAAAGAAGAAGTTAGCGATGCTATTAAACATATGAAGAAAGGAAAGTTAACTGGGCCAGATAAAATTTCAACAGAAGAATTAGAAGTACTTGGGGAATTTGGGGTAGAAATATGAACTAAACTGTTCAATGACATTTGTAACACTGGGTACATGCCAAGTGATATGATTAAATCTGTATTTATTGCGTTAACCCAAAAGACCAGAAGCAATTGAGTGTGAAGAATTTCGTACAATCAACTTAACAAATTATGTCACCAAATGACTACTTAGAATTATAATGAGAAGAACAAAAAGAGACATAAGAATTAAAATGAGTGAAGAGCAGTATGAATTTATGGAAGGTAAAGGGACAAGTAATGCAATATGCATATTACGAACACTGATAGAAAGATCAATGGACATACGAAAGGACTTATATCTGTGCTGTATAGATTATAAAAAAGCATTTGACAACGTTAAACATGAAGAAATTATAAAAACGTTGAAAGACATTTTTTTTTTTTTTTTAACGTATCCAGAAACCATGAGTTGTAAACCCTTTGGCTCGGTACTATGGATATCGCAACCCTTCGGCATTGATTCCATTATAGGTACCGTTAATCTGGGAGAAATGTGGCTTTTCTGCCTACCCCCGGGAGTGAACCCGGACCACAAGGAGTTCGTCACCCGGCCGCCGCGAAAGTCAGGTTTAACCAACTTCGCTAGAGAGCCGGGCTTTGAAAGACATCAATGTAGACAGAAAAGATCTCAAAATAATTAAAACATATACTGGAGTCAAGTAGCAGCAATTAAAGTGGGAAACAAATTGGGTACTTTTGAACAGATAAAGCAAGGAGTAAGAGAAGTATGTGTCATCCCCAGACCTTTTCTCTCCATATAGTGAAAAAAATTGTGAGGGAAATTAGAGAGAATGAAGGAGTAAAAGTTGGATATCACAATGTAAACAATTTGCGTCATGCAGACCTTATACAGTTTTGATAGCTAAAAATGCAACTGATTTACAACAACTGCTGGACATTGTGGAGAGTGCTAAGAAAGGATTTTCAGTGAATATTAAGAAAATGGAAGGAATGGTTATATCGAAGAAGAAGATAATTCCACGTTGTGATGTCTCAGCTGAATGAAAAAAGACCTAACCAAGTCAATAAATTTAAATATCTGCGAACAATTATTTCATCAGACGGAAAATGTGTTTAAAAGCAGAACTGGTCAAGCGAAAGCTGCATTTCAGAAAATGAACAATATCTTATGCAATAAATCGCTCTCATTTAATATCAGAAAGAGGGTGCTAAAATGTTAAAAGAACCTGTTCTGCTGTATGGCAGCGAATCTTGGAATGTCACTGAACAAATTAGGAAGAATTTGAAAGCAACAGAGATGTGGCTTCTGCGACGATTAAAAGTCCGCCAATGTTTCTCCTTCAATGTTGAATATCTTTCAGAACGTCTACCCACCCTACCCTTCAGTTAGTTTTTTAGTGTATGGATTCCCTATATTTTCTGTTGCACTGCCCGTTTGAGTCCATAGAGTCTTCATCACATTAGCTTTATAATGTATTATCTCACCACGCAGAAAAGCGGCAGCAGCCAGCCTATCAGCCTTCTCGTTACCTCATACACTTGTATATCTTAGAAAATCAATGATATGATCTTGATATGGATAGCAAATATTATTCTCAGACCTACGTTAGTTATTTAGGTTCCCACCGCCCCGACCATAGTTCACCTTTACAAATACTTATATTTTCCTTAACCCCCCCCCCCCCCCCCTTACACCCCCACCTTTTATTGCTTTTGTCATTATAGAAGAGTGTAGTTGGGGACATTTGAAGGGACTTCGAACTCCAGAAAAAGCTTTCAACGGCACCTGCATTGAGTTCCTCAACCAAGAGGGACTGTTCTTTTGTCACCTCAGCAGTAAAAATAAGTTCTGCTGCGAGGTCTGCGCTGAATACCGACGTAAAAACCCAGGTAAGCAACGGCAGTAGTCTTCTTCAATATAATTACCTAGTATTCTGGTGTAAAGAGCAACGAACGAGCTGATAGATTTGCAAGTGATACTCTGGCTGGAAATAAACGTGCAATGAACAGGGTTGATACACTGAATGCACTCAGAGAGGCAGCTCGATTAAACGAATCAGTAATGATTTTGAACCTGCAACACTGATGAGACTACACGAGCATAACATGGAAAGGGGTGAAGCCAGACAAGAGCGCTACACAGAAGCCCAAAAGGAATAGTAGACCAACGCAGAACTGGTGTCATAAGCCACGACATGCTGGGGGAGATATTGAAGAGGGGATCTGAGCACGTTTGGACTGAATGGTTTGAATGGTAATCTGTCGACAAACTAATTAACTTACTAATCAATACTTACCTAGCTCAAAAATATTTTCTTCTAGACTGATATAGATATCTGATCCCTTAGTTTATTTATCTTGTTTTATACTGTTGTTGAATCAAATTAATTGTAACATTGAAACAAAATCTAGACTATTGTAGAAGTCTGATTACCTACTGTGTAAAAGAATTTTAGATTGCTGCAGAAATCTAAGGACGTCTTGTTTTATACCTTTTACTAAAACTGTATGAACTTAAGAACTAAACAGTTAATTATTTTAGATTGTTGTAAATAGCTAAACTCTAA